ATCAAAATTTACACCATAATAAAATTAAGGTACGGTAAAGCTACGGTAAAAGTATGTAGATTTAAATTAATCTAGAATTTAACGCGTATTAATTTTTCATCATTACATTTCCAGACAATTAAGATGATAATTACAATTGTGAGCGTATTTGGAATAAGCTGGTTCCCATTACAACTATACAACATTATTCTGTATTTCGAAGATTCAATTAGGATGTAAGTAATTCGACTTTTGCACGCCAGTTCAAAATATACCTAGTGATATTGATTATTATATTAATAATATATCGTTATGGCTCACTACGAAACACGGTTCCAGGTACAAACACATTCGTCTCGTATGGTTTTTCTGCGACTGGATTGCTATGACCAACTGCTGTTCCAATCCATTTATTTACGCGATATATAACGTAAGTACCAATTAATGCTTTTAGTGATTCCACATTTCTCATTCATTGTATAAAATTAATTTTCAGGAAAGGTATGCTAAAGAGTTGCGCGATGTATACAATAGAATACGAAGGATGTTCTCCGATCCACCGCCAGTTAATGAAATACAAATGTTGGAACTATAAGTTACTAGGACTTTGGATTCGTGTTCTTTAAAATATACGTATATACCTATATTGTGTAAAATGTATATTGTACATATGTACATATAATTCCAACAAACATTATATATCGATGAGTGTGTATAGCAACATACAGCAAACATGGCCACTAGGACCACACTAGGTGAGTCGGAGTTGTGTGTGAACGACGTATCGTTTTTTGTTTTTCGCGTATTCCTGTTGCGTAGTTGATCGATTGCAGCTACGAGAAAAGAATGCCTATCTTCATTACAAATATTCAATCAACAGATTATGGGTCCAAGCTAACTCTAGTGATTTAAAGAAACGAAAAAGAAGAAATGCTAATAAGAAGATGGCCAGTGGAAAGTGTTCACAGTATTGAATAGCTTATGGACGAAAATTACTAGTCATGAGTACTAAACATCGCAGGTGAACATGGTAGCCATCTCCCGGGGTCTAATCTAATATTTGCAATTGAAGATTTATCGTACGACTAGTATTCCTACTTAGAGTCCGGTTCTCAACTCCGGAGAGAAAAGAATAATCTTTTTCTTTTTTTTTCAATTCTTTTTTATTTTGTATAAATTTTTTACATATGAAAATACATACTACAGTTTCAATAAATAGGGAATAAAATGTCTTAATTTACCAAACTAGATGAGTCAAGAAACGAGTACGAAAGAGTGGAGATGGAAGGAAAGCTATATCGGAAACTAGTTGGAGCAATCATCTATCTGAGGAACTTCACGAAACCAGACTTGGTGTACGCAACAAGCACTCTGAGCCGATTTCGTTATTTACGACAATCAACCCACCATAGAGTTAACCAAAAATTCGCTATGTACAAATAAGAGTAAACATACAAATATATATATATTAGATGTCATTACGTACGAGAGAAGATCGAATGAAATGAAATAGGGATAAAGTATTTGAAACACGACCATTGCGTCAACTTACTGAATTTAAACAAAACCGTTGTATGTATAAAATTTGTATGTCTATAATAAGTGTATGATACGTATTGTTACGCCGCGATATAGGCAGTCGTCAAAGCATATTACGCCATACAGCAAAAGTGGCCGCTAGGACCATATTAGGTGTCTCGGTGTGGGATCGATGTATCGTCTTTTGTTTTTCCAATATTTCTGTTGCGCAGCTAGTCGATTGCAGCTACGAGAGGCAGACGCAAGAAATAACAAATATTAACCAACACATATGAACGTTTTTATTTTTACAATAAAGTCTTATACTAACGTAATAACTTTGTAATATGACAAAACATTCACTATTAATAATAAGAAACTAATTACATTCACAAAAAGAAAAATTAAGGGAAATATTGTAAGACATTATATATTTTATTTATAATTTATAAGAACAGGAACAAAAATGCATCCAAGACATCAAACACTTTATTAGATATATGTACAACAGTACATTATTTATTAAACATAAATAGATTAAAAAATTACTAATATTATAATACTAATGGAAAACAATTATTCAATGTAAGTTATTATACAAATAAAACTCTGTATCACATAAATTGTTGGTCGTATTTAATTTGATTATATATATCGTACTAATCAAAATTCATACTATTACGTTGTTCAATGTCTTTAATTTCTAACATATCTGTTTTAAGATGCAATTTCATTATTTCTCTCCAAATATCCATTCTGTGTTGCTCATTGTCAATTCCAAGACTCAATAAAATATTTTCATTTATTCTTAATAAAACTCTTCCAGTGATATCGTGCTTAAAAATACATAATACTAATCATATATTTAATGTCAGAAGTACAAAAATATATGTATATTTATGTGTACTTACTTCAATTATGTACTTACATATAAAAACCTTTCATGATATAATTGATAATAATCGCTACAATGCCTTCTCAACCATTTTTGTACGTCTAGCACATTCCACAAATAAACTGGACGTGGTCTAGCAGTTTTATTCTGTAACATTTTATACATTTATAATTGGTATAAACTGAATTTCTGTAGATTTAACCAATTTACTTCGTTTCAATTAAAAGATGCACAACAAAAGTAAAACTTATCAAATTTCAACGATATTATTATTGCGACAATTATAACGCTTTGACAATAAAATTAACATACCTTTGGTTTACTAGTAGAATTAACTACTTCTTCTACCATCGTATGTAAAATTCAAAACATGAAATTATGAAAAACATAAGCAGACTATAAACAATTAAAAGTAGTATACAAAGTCAGAAAAAATAATATTAAATTATTGACAATATTCGTTGATACGATTAACAAACATTCCTTTCTTTCTATCAGTACAATCGTAAAAACTGTTTATTATTAAATTACATTAAAGCGTATTATACAAAACTAAACGAGAAAATTCGAAATATTTTCTTTTGCAACTAATATTACTTCCACTTTTTCTACTACTGTATAAAATTTTTCCATTTTGTCACTATGCAGTATATACACATTAAACTGCAGCATATATTATATCACTAGAAATTGGAAAATATGTTAAGTTGCATCTTCAAATTGTTCTAAATTCATACTCTACATTAGACATGCAAATATGAAAAAAAACAATTTCTATTCGACTTCCAAACATTTTTGGATTTTGTTCGCAAAATTTGTTAACTGCGTTAATTAATGTTGAATAATATATTACGAAGAATTTTATCGTTTTAAATAAACTTTATAATTTTAATATTATTTTATTGCTAAAATTATGTATCAAATAATTACAAGTGTTTAAATATGCAAATGTTCAAAATATATGATATATCCTAGAATAATTCAAATCTTATATTATAGTATTATTTCATTTTATACAGCAATTTCTTATCCTGAATTCTCTTCTAAATTAATTTTCCCATTGCCAAATATTACTCGTGTCATTATCATTATTAATTAAAATTAATCAAAGAGATAGTCGAAAGTTGATGAAAATTTAAAACTCGCGAATAATACGTTTTAAAAACGATTTGAAACTAAATACCAACATAAGCGGAAGTATACTAATTTGACTCATCAACTCCATGTAATACCATTAAATTGTACTTTCGACCTTTCGTCTGTAGCTAACGAAACAAAATGATAACTATTTCTTATTTATTATTTATAATTCCCTTAATTTATGATATTGTACATATTGTATGTTTAAAGTACATAATATTATTAAAAAACTAGTACGAAATGTAGTTTTGTATGATACAGTTAATATCAACAGCGACGTATATGTGAAATATCAAACTTTTAAACAATTACGAACCATGTGGTTGTCACATTATATATTTTTCAAATATTATTTGTTAATAAATTATATTTTATAGAAATGGATGTCCAAAAATATATTAAGATACAGTATTTATGGTTTTAATATTCAATTTCTTTGTATGATAGTAAATGTTTATACTTAACCTTTAAGTGTATTGATAGTAATAGTTAAAATATTGAAGGAAAATGCTAACATAACTAGCAGTATTTTGGCTAATGTTTTAACAGATATCAGAAATATATAATAGACAATATTTGTTTGCTCACATAATCAGTCATAACCATTATGTATCATCATTATTATTAATTTAATTCTTTTATTTCTCAGACTTGTAAGCGCAGAAATGGTGGACGTGCTAAGCATGGCCATGGTCATGTAAACCCAGTTCGTTGTACCAATTGTGCACGGTGTGTACCAAAGAATGAAGCTATTAAGAAGTTTGTTATTCGTAATATTGTGGAAGCAGCTGCTGTTAGAGATATTACAGGAGCAAGCTTTTACTCCGCATATCAATTTCTAAGTTGTATGCAGAGTTGCAGTACTGTGTATCTTGTGCTATTCACTCAAAAGTAGTTCGCAACAGGTCTAGAGCGAGCTGTCATATTAGGATACCTCCAGTTCATAATTTTCCCAGGGTAATTATCAAAGCTATATATTTCTGTGTATTTAATATCAATATTTACGTGGTAGCATTAATAGCTATTAAATTTTAATACACTGCATTTTTTTTAGGATCTGCATCAGGGTCAACAAAACAGAAAATAACTTAATATGTAAATTTTAAATAAAATAAAAAACAAAATTAATAACTGTTTTTTATTTATATCATTTATTCTACGAGATAAATTATTTTACAACTTTTCTATAATTTCTAAACAAGTTATTTTTTAAATTTATTGTTACATAATTCAAAATTAATACAATGATAATGAACAATGTAAAAATTACATACATTTAATTTGTTATTATATACCATACTTCCTTATGAAGTACATAAAGAAATAGTACATCACAAGTGCAATCTTAATATTAGCTAACACTAACAAGTAATTAATACTTTATTCATTTTCAAAATGTGATGTTGAACGTACAATAAAAGTTTGTATCTAGTTTTTACCAATAATGCATAAAATTGTTAAAAATATTTTGCATATAACTGTAGCAAGAATCTCACTATTGTTGCATTTTTTTTTTTGTAAAATTAATATACAATTAACAATAGTTGCCAAGTACATCAAGGAATCATTTGTTTGCTTCTTCCATTGGTTTTTTGAGCGTTTTTTCAAATATCTTCTTGAAATCACAAAACCCTTATTTAGTTTTACCGAATGAATTTGGTCCGGCAAAAGTTGGCGTTTCTTTTCAAATATTTCTCATCCTCATCCTTGCTTCTGCTGGCATTTCCTCAGGTTCATCTTCTTCATCTGCATTAAACACAGATGTCACTGTTGGCCTTTGAATTGATGTCGCTTTTACTGTAGGCTTCTAGAATATAATTCTTGTAAAAAAGACAAATATGTGTATGTATATTTTAATTTATATACTATTACCTACTGATGTCAAGCCCAGTTTTATCTGAATGCCGTTTTTTTTTATCTGCTCCACTTTTCTTTCCAAATCCAAATGCCAGCTTCTGTTTTTTTGCATCACTCTGATTGTAATTACCAGCCTCTGTCATCTCCTGTTAAGTCCCCTGCCCTGTACACACTTGACCCTGACAACGTCAAACACTGGCAAAATTCAGATCAAGTTAAACAACATTGTATCTTTTAACTGGAAATATTTAAGCGGCATGCTTAGCAGAAGTTTCTTGTAATTTTGGACTAAATTCAAAAACAAATGAATTTAATAAATGATGACGAAGAAACAAGTGTACGTATAGTATACACAACTTAAGATTATTTATAATAATACGAAATGCAATATATATTTACTTGATAATTTTAATATATAAGGTTAACATTCACTGCGTTTTTACTATTGCGATGCATTCTATGGCACATGGTTGTAGGATGTCTGCAACCAAGGATGGCACATGAAAAGTAAGAAACGAGATTTAGAAAATAAACTACGATTTGACCATTTATTTCTCTTTTACTGTTGCTCCGTAATCAATTTTCTAAATTACATATTTAAGATTTGCTTTTGCCATGATTAAGACTGTGAACATGAAATCAATAACGAAAACAAATCAAGAATAGAGCACTGTCCATTTTCTGTAAGATACAAAGTAAATGTTATTTTACCAATTGCGACCGATACGATTATAAATAAAATGAATAAAACCTTTTCTATATTCGTCCCCTGAATTCCTCTTCGACATTTTTCTGATTTTCTTTGGACACAATCGGAAATCGACTGATCTGAGGCAGTTTAACACCATTAACCGCGGTGTAGTTCACACTAGTACTCTGGCCATACTACAAATAGGGACATTCAAGACAGTAAAGTACATCTAGTAATATTCTTTTTATCCTAGGAATGATTACACAATCTTATTTTAATAAAATAAAAATTTATGAAGCAGATACGCTTCTAATTATTATAGATTGACACTAATTGGAATTTTTTATCTTCAAAGTTATCCCGAAGATATTCTTTTTAGTAATTTAGATTTTCTTTCCAATGTTCCTTCGTATTGGTGATTTTGAGCGACCCATATTTTCGTTCATATGTAACGATTTTTCTTTAAGAGCAACTGGTGGTGGACTGTTTAATATATTATTGTAATTCTTCATGTTAGTTTATGTTTTTACAGTTATTTAAAATAATAAAATTGGTGTTATTAACATGATTATAAACAATTGTATCTTAACGAAACATTGAATCAATGAGTTCAAGTTATCAAGTAATTGTTTCAATCATTTAATATATGATAAACTTTGTACTGATGGAAGTATAATTATAGTAATTGCATAGGTATCTTTCTCCTCTAATAATGTAAACATCTGATAGAATTAAATAAAATTATGTTATAATTGTTAATGATAGCACTTATACTTATTGTTTAATACTTTTTTTACACACAAAATAAAATCTTTTTAAAAAAAAAGTTTTAATTGTATCATAATGTTTCTAAAAATGTGTGTCTGTAGTTGTAAAGTACATTTATTTATTGATACGAGTACTTTGTTAACTTTATAAACACCAATATAATAAAATCAACAGACATCGTTGGATAACTTAAGGAAACCAATGAAAATATGTTGGGAAAAGTAAATAAAGTATATAAAGTGATAGTAATGTTACTTTCGCTGTGGATGCTGATATAACACTGGGGGAGATCAGTCGTTGAAAAGTCACGAAAGCTAATTTACTTCTTTAAGATAATAAAATCGAACTTCCGATAACGAATTTAGAGTGCATATTTGTTAAGAAGGAAACTAAATAAAGTCGTTAGTTAAAACGTAAGTACATTGAAACAAAAAATTATCACTCTGTTTTTTTTTTCCACCTTTTTAGTCATCCGCTCGATTATTAACAAGGATGTTAACATGTATTGATAAACCATAATTTGTTGAACGTAGTATCCAGATAAATAGAAGTTTATATTACTTTTCAGCACGACGAATTTTAATCGATCCTTCAGTCGATGATGTTATTATACGGAATTGGATGCTTATTGGTGAGATTGTCATTATACTTTTCTTAAATTGAAACAAATATTTTGTCCTTTCTTAATTTTTCCTCTTCTTATTTATTTATTATCCACGAAGAGAACAACTTTCGAAACTTTCGCAACTCTCGAAACTTTCGCAACTCTCATACCGAGTGGAATTTATCGATCAATTATATCCGTGCACGTTTTCAGGCGACATTCTCCGGAAAAATTCAGGGAACGCGGAGAAGAGGAAGTCGATGAAGGGTCCTCCCTGCGAACTGTTTCCTTTCAAGATCGACTGTCACGAGTTCAAGGACAAGGCTGGGCTATGAAAAGAATCGCCACGCGATTCAGGGATACAAAGACTTCTCGTGGCATTGACACGAGCCACTCTCTATTTCGCGTACGTCCCTTTGTAATATCGCCACCACTTCGTAATGACATGACGGCAAAGCAATTTCCACTACCTAGCCTGCAAGCTAGTATAAATTGTAATACCATTAATATCCCTAATTACGCGATGCACTTAGACGTGCGGTAGCTTGACGTGATTCATAATGCTACAATTACGTGTAAACAGTTTCAAACAAACAACGAAACGCCGATTAATTAATCAATTAATTAATCGATTAATCGCCGTTAGAAATACGGTTAACTCCGAGAATCGAGTGATCTCGCGTTTGTTCAAACGCGGTGCAAGTAGATCGAGCAGGGAATGGTCAGACATCGGCTGAAAATTTGGATTATTCGCTCGTTCGTCGACTGGCATCGATAGAAACGAGGTTAATTTAAGAAACGAGTTACAATATTGACTTCCGTGTGATCGAAATGAAAATAGGAGGGCGACTTTTGTTAAAAATAATATCGGTATTTTTCATAAGAATAGCGGTAATATTGTTTTAAGTAAAATAGGATTTATGGAACAACGTGTCGATCAATTTGGTTTATTATTTTCAATCGTTTCGCGTACAGCTACTAATTATAAGTAACGTGTTATTATATGATAATTAATTCAGCACGTTGAGACTTTTCTAATTGAAAAGAGTTTTTCAAAATTAAAAGTTCGGTTTTCCAAGGAAGAAAGTTATTTGTGTAATAAATAATTAACACCGTAGATTATGTCTCCGTAGCGACACCATTGAAATACGAATAGATTAGCGATACTTCTTTTTACTGGAAAAGAATTTTTACAACTTACCGATCCACTTTTCAAGGAAATTAATTATTATTTTCTATTCGTAAAACAACGCGGATCAGACGCTGGGAACACGAGTTTCGTAAAGAAGAAGGAAAATTACATAAACAGTTTGCAATTAACAACGTTAATCACTGTATAAGAAGTGGAAGCACGGTGTGAGAATATGGTAGGTTATCGTATCAAGTTACGCACGGTTCAAGTAGATCGAGACGGTAATGAGCAAACTGTCGGAAAATTGACTCCGGCGTTATACTCGTGTCGGGATAATTTTCATAATTCAAGAAATAGGAGATGAAACGCGGCAGCAGCTATCGCGAACCGTTTCAGACACTTTGCTCGAGCGTCGACAACAACGATCACGGCAACCAAGGAAATCTCTGTGAAATTAACGAAACTCTTGGCAACGCGCCGTTCCCGACGACGTCGTGGAAAACTTCATAATTTCCATTAACCAGCGAAATGAGTTTCGCAGGTGGGACCTGGAAAAGAGAGTACGCGTATTCTCTGCTTTCTTCTGCGTTTCTTGCTTTCTTTTTTTTTTTCTTTTTTCCGCGTCTTTAAAATTCTTCGAGCGAGATTTCTATTCACGTGAATCTCCGTTATGAAGAGTCAAACAATCTTTTCTAGGAGAAAAAATCTCACAGTTTACTTGGAAGTGCCTGTATTTTCTGAAAGGTTTCCCCTGCTGTTGAATTTTATCGCGACTCAAGAAACAATATAGATGGAGAATGCTGTCTGAAAGGGCTGCAGATAATATTAAAACTTTTTACTGTAAATAATTAAGTTTGCAACAGTGCAGTTCTGTTCGGTATCCCGGTGGAGAAGTCAGGTACTTTAATATATTTATAAGACCAGAGATTGCATCCTTAACTAGTTCATAGCAAAGATAGTTTTCAAATGGAGTGCTATTTGCAATTCCCACAATTCTCCACAGCGTGTGCTTAAGTGTTGCGCGTATCGAGTGTTTACGCGTTTTATTCCCTCTTTGATTTTCATACGTATCTAAAAGTTAAAAACTGAAAACAAAATATACTCCGATATTCCCAAGAAATATATAGATTACATAGAACCTAGTTTGACGTAGATTACACACAGTTATTTATGAAAGTATATACGCATTAATATGAACACTACTAACACGAGATTCTAAACAAGCATAAACAGAAGATTTGCAAAACTATCCAAGGATCTCGATCATTCTATCACCTTTCTCGCTGTCCGAACCTGTTCGTTACGCGCAAGTTGGAAGATCACTATTCCTATGTTGCAGGTCGCAAAATAGGAGAACAATGCTTTCGAATAGGCTACATAATAGATAAATTAGAAGCTCAGACGGATATTTCGAGATGGCGTCCTCGAAATTTCGCCTGACGTATTGGTACGGACAGACAGGAGAACATAAATCCGTATTTGCTCTGTCGTCTGACAGGAGAGAGGGCGAAACAGACTTGATTGACAAGCTAAACCCTCAAAGACCACTTTCGGGAAGCATTATCCGGTCGATAGGTCACGGTTCGTACTGTGTGCAAACATAATTTCGGTAGTGTTTACGGACCCTTTTGTAAAAGGTGGAGTAACGGCGTTAAGGGAAGATTTCGTAATTGCCTGTGCCCACGGATGAGCTGTGGTCGTTCGATGAACGAGTGGACTCGACGAATATCGGATATTCGTGGGTTATTTACATAATCCTCTATAATTCCTTTCTATCTGCACCAATTCTTGAACTCTTAGATAGTATATTCTCCTCCATTATCTCATCGAAGTCTCTGTGTTGTTCCACTTTGCTTCTGCTGCTGCAATACAATTAAACAATCTCTATAATGCTTCAGTATATGATACCATAAAATATATCATCACAAAATTAGTAAAATCTAAGACTGTCATTGCATACCTATTTCTGTTACATGTCACTGGCTCTCTAGGTCCACATATATCAGAATGTATAATTTCAAGCTGCCTTTTTGCCCTTGTTCTAGGCTCTGAAAACAGTGTCTTCAATTACTTTGCACAGAAAAAGTATCCTGCATTCTTCAATTTTTGCCTTTTGTATTTTTTTCCTTACTTTTATTCCCAATGTTTTCTTGGACAACTCCATTGTGTTTTCTATACTTAGATGGCCCAATTTTCTACACTACTACCAGCTTCTTGTTCCTCTCTACTAGTAATACTCTAGCCTGTATTTTTCCTTTTGATTCATCTGCACCATAAAATCCATTAACACACGTCTTCCCTACCAATATTTTTTCTTCCTTCTTATAAACTATTACATTATGTTTCTAGAACATTATTTTACCACCCTTTCGAGTTATCAGATGTATTGACATTAAATTCTGTCTCAAGTTTGAAACATACAGAACATTTTTAAATATACAGCTATCTAACTTAGCTCTACCGTTTGCTATAGTTTCTATGAAAATGTTTCTCTTCGCTGATTCAATTTTTATTCCTATTTCTTCCTATTCCTTGAAATATTCTCTAGCTTGTTCACCATATGGCTGATTGTTCTTGAGTCCAAAATCCATTGTTTTGTTCCATTGTTCTCTGTCAAGAAGCACACTTTCTTCTTTTCTTCTTGATCTCCTTTGTTTTCCTTCATGTTTTTAAAATAACAGTCTTTTTCCTAATGATTAGATTTCTTACATGTCCCATACGGAGAACGCACTTCTTGAGTCTCGTCTTTTCTTTCTAGTCCTAGAAATTTTTCCGATTTTTATCTTAATTCTAATCACAACTAAAGTATTTAATTTCTTTGTTACCTTTTTGGTTTTTCCAACATGCACTTGCAATATGTATGCTGTAGTTACATTTGAAACACCTCCTCTATTGAGCTTTGCAGGTTACAGATCATTTTGATGATCTCGCTTTCTTGACAATCACCTGAGTTGTGAAGTTATCTATTCTCCGTTTTTCTTTTTGCATTAACTCCCAGTTGCAAATACATAATCTGCCAGTGTACATAAGATTTTAATTATAAGCATTATTTATTCGATTTTACGCCATAATGCATGTAATTAGAAAACTTACTTGTCAACCACGCAATGTGGGTTTCTATGTTTCATGTTCAAATTTAGATTTATGCATGAAAAATGTCTCTGTAACAGAATATTTTCGCTGTTTGGTATCCTTCTCATAGATATTGCTTAATTTTATCCATATATCAAGACTTGACGTGCAGGTTGGTACATCAATAAATAATATGTTCCCTATGGTTGAGAGTATCATGCTTTGAACTTATGCATTGTTCGTTAACTAATCCTGTTTACACATTACTACATTTCTTGATTCTTTCATTATATGTCCATATAAACCTTGACATCACAGCATGAAGACCATTCTAAATTTTCAAGCATGATATTCATCTACATCCTTTCATCTATTCACATTTTCAATTTCCTTCACTCTCAAACACGTGGCCTACATTCTGTTGGCAGTCCATAACCTGTTGTTTTATTCTTTTGCTCAGAACATGTACAACCCACACCCATTACTTTTTATATTACTCACCCAGGTATCCTTTATTTCCATTACTCCCACAATATTTCGTCATTTTCTCCAGGTACAGATTCATTTGTCATTCACAGTCAAAAATCCATCATACAATTACATAACCAAAGTTAGTAACAGATTGAATTTCAAGCGACATTCAGTCAGCGCCATCTATGGTTTTGAACCAAATGGTCTGAAAAGTAATAGGAATACAGAATAGGCAAGGAGGTCGTCGTAGAGCTGGTCAAGAGACAGACAAGGACAGAGGGGATAGAAAAAGATAGAAGGGCTCCGACAGAGAAAAGTTAATAAATTACACATTTTCCGTAATTAATTAATGAACTTTTATAATTTCATTGCCAAGCTGGAACTTCAGGCAACATTCCTATATAACCTTTGTAAAGAATTTAACTCTAAATTGTAAGTTATTAATTATCGTTTAATGGCGTCTATGATTTCGTAACGACGACCATCGCGACCTTCTGTGAGAATATTTAATACTAAACAAAACTAGAATCAAAATGTGATCAAAAGTTATATGAGAAGATTCGCAAGAACATTGTTTTTATAATGAGTGCATAAAGTTTCATAAATTAATTGCGTAAAGGATAGTGATTAATGAAAAACCAATGGCGTCTTCGACAACAATTCAAACACTCCGTAGAATAATCATTAATAATTAATTAATTAGAGACAAATTTATATCAAAAGTTATATGTGAAAGTTTTAGGAGGATCTGCCGTTACGATGCAATTATGAAAGTTCATAAATTAATCGCAGAAATTGAGCAATTTGTTAATTTTCTAGTACCGAATGAAAATTCAAACAACAACAGTTCAAGGTTCCAGTCCAATCTCATAGATGGCGCTAATCGAAGGCGCTTGAATTTGAATCGGTTACTAACTTTAGTTATGTGCTCCTCATACATGCTTTTACTGAACGATAATTGTGTGATGGATATTTTCGACTGTAAACGGTGAATTAATCTATAACTGGAGAGAATGATATGAAATTGTGGCAGCGATGAAAGCAAAAGGGAACCTCGGATGAGTAATATAAGGTGGAATGCGTGTGGGTTGTGCATGTTTTAAGCAAAAAAATAAATCAACAGTTTATGGACTACCAACAGAATGTAGGCCACGTGTTTGAGTGCGGAAAACAAAATTCGAAAAGAAAATTGGAAGTATCAATAGATGAAAGGATCAAGATGGATATCATATTTGAAAATTTAGAGTGGTCTTCACGCTATGGTCTTAAGGTTTGTATTGATATATAATAAAAGAACTAAGAAATGTAGGAAACTGCAAACAAGATTGGTTAACAATGTATAATTACAAAATTTGATAGTTTTAATCGTAGGGAAGGTATTATTACTTGATAACCTGTACGTCAAGTTATGAGATATGGTTAAAATTAAGCAATACCTATGAGAAGGATGCAAACTAGCAGAATATGATATAGTAACCTACACTGCGTGGCTGACAGGTAAGTTTTCAAATTACATTCATTAGGACGTAAAATAGAATAAACAATGTTTATAACTAAAATCTTATGTACATTGTCAGATCGTGTATTTACAACTGTATGCGATTAATGCAGAAAGAAGAAAGGAAAATAGATAATCTCACAACTCAGGTGATTGTCAAGAAAGCAAGATCATCAAAATGATCTATAGTCTGCAAAGCTCAAGAGAAGAGATATTTCAAATGTAACTACAGCATACATATTGCAAGTGCATGTTGGAAAAACCAAAAAGGTAACAAAGAAATTAAATATTTTAGTTGTGATTAGAATTAAGATAAAAATCGGAAAAATTTCTAGGACTAGAAAGAAAAGACGAGACTCAAGAAGTGCGTTCTCCGTATGGGACATGTAAGAAATCTAATCATTAGGAAAAAGACTGTTATTTTAAAAACATGAAGGAAAACAAAGGAGATCAAGAAGAAAAGAAGAAAGTGTGCTTCTTGACAGAGAACAATGGAACAAAACAATGGATTTTGGACTCAAGAACAATCAGCCATATGGTGAACAAGCTAGAGAATATTTCAAGGAATAGGAAGAAATAGGAATAAAAATTGAATCAGCGAAGAGAAACATTTTCATAGAAACTATAGCAAACGGTAGAGCTGAGTTAGATAGCTGTATATTTAAAAATGTTCTGTATGTTTCAAACTTGAGACAGAATTTAATGTCAATACATCTGATAACTCGAAAGGATGGTAAAATAATGTTCTAGAAACATAATGTAATAGTTTATAAGAAGGAAGAAAAAATATTGGTAGGGAAGACGTGTGTTAATGGATTTTATGGTGCAGATGAATCAAAAGGAAAAATACAGGCTAGAGTATTACTAGTAGAGAGGAACAAGAGGCAGCTTGAAATTATACATTCAGATATATGTGGACCTAGAGAGCCAGTGACATATAACAGAAATAGGTATGCAATGACAGTCTTAGATTTTACTAATTTTGTGATGATATATTTTATGGTATCATATACTGAAGCATTATAGAGATTGTTTAATTGTGTTGCAGCAGCAGAAGCAAAGTGGAATAACATACAGATTTAAATGCAATAACGGAAAAAGGAGTTTACCAGCGGAGAATTCAAGAATTGGTGCAGACAGAAAGTAATTATACAGGATTATACGACACTGTATACACCTCAACTGAATGGAAAGGCTTAATCGAATGTTACTGAATAAAATACGAGCACTCCTGTACGATTGAAATAGAAAAGAAATTGTGGATGGAAGCTGTGTATTTTGCAAATTATCTACAGAATAAAGGTTCTGCAACTGGAGTGAATACAACTGTATATAGAAAATGAGTAGGAGAAAGATCTCACATATGAATTACACATTTTTTGAGAAACTAATATTCTTCGACATCTGAAAGTAATAGAGCAACTTTGTTTGCAGGTCTGTTTCAAGGAAATTAAACTGTGCAAGAATTACCCACTGAATATTATTGATTAAGATTTGTATTGACAATGTAATTGAATAAATGATACAGCATAATCTTTGTATTACTGAAGAATATGATTCAGTTTAACACTAGAATTAGTAAAAAGGTCAAAAGCATAAAATAAATAAGTATGTATAAGTATGTATAATTAATATCTGAATGAAATGTAAACTAACTATTAATAATTTATGCATTTATAAATTTTTCCTTAATAATCTAATTAATTATTAATAATTATTGCACAGAGGACATGAACTCATACCAAAGATGCTATTGGTTTTCCATTAATTACTAACTTCTATGCAATTAATTCATGAATTACATGACACATAAAAATGGTCATACTGCTCATGTATCAAATTTTGTAACTAACACATGAATATATTATATAATACTATTCAATATATTTTTATAACTAATTTAATAATTAATTTTATTAATTTATAAGTTTTCTATAGTGGAAAATAAGTACTTCTTAATTTATTATTTTCATAACGGAAGCATATTTGAATTTGCAACAATGTTATTAATAAATATAAGGCATCGTCTAATATTCTACATCGATACTTTAGTACATGGCTATCTCAGACAGGAAGCATCTTCCCGCGAAAACAAGCATAGCCTGTCCAATCGCAGCCCACTTCTAGTCGATACCAATCCATCGTGCCTGTAACACATGGACAAATGTTTACGCGCGTGAAAGTAAAAGTTTCAGTGTCGGAACAATACGTTTCGTAAAGTAGTGCCATCATTGATAGTGTTTTAATTACTGCAACTGACGAAATTAATATTCA